TATCTCCCACCAGCTGCAGGAGCCGACATGGAGAAGGCCGCCCACCTCAAGCATGGGTGAAAAAAGACTTGAGAAATCAGAGCCCCCGGCCCTGCACTTGGCTTGGTGTGGGGCTAGGATGTTGGCACTATCCAATCTGTGTGACAGCTGGGGATGAAGAAATTAACATAGAACCTGTTGTTCAAGAAAGCCCAGTGGGCCCTAGCAGAGGCCACCATGAATTCATGCCACAGAGATACCTCCACAGTCCAGGGGAGAGTCTTCAAGTGTAAAAATCACACTGAGCTCTGAGCTGAATAAATAAAAACAAATCCACACCTGGACATATCTTGGGTAAAACTATCAGAGAAAAAAACAGATTACCTACAAAGGATGCAGACTTCTCATCAGCAGTAATAGATGCTTGAGGACAATAGAATCATGTCTTCGAAGCGCTGAGGGGAAATAACTGTCAACTTAAAATTCTATACCATCACTCAAGAGCTAGGGAGAAAAAGAAACAATTGGGGGCACAAGAAAACGAAACAAGGGCATCACCCAAAGACCCAGAAGCTAGAGATACTAATATAGGCAGGAAAGAGCACCAAAAAGGAGAGTGAGATGTAAGAAATAGTGTTTTCTAGAAAAGGAAGACATCAGATGAGAGCTTCCTCAACCCTCCACAACCCAACCTAAAAAGTTGCCTTTACCAGTGGGCAGAGGGGCACACCTTCCCTCAGGTTACAGTGGGAGAGCTGTCTGTGCTCTGGGGACCCCCTGCTTTCTCAAGAACCCTGATTCTGTTAATAATTTCCTCTCCCCTATATGTTACTTCTATAAAGCTAACACTTAATTGTTGAACAAAATATTATAGACATATATCTTGAAATTATAATGAAAAGCAGTCATTCTCACCACCCTCCCCTGCCAGCCCTGTTCCCTGGCAGCAACCACTTTCAGATCTTTGAGCTGTCTTATCTGGAACCTATCTTCCTATTTTCAAATAACATGCTATGCCAGGAGAACTTTGGAAAATCCATCACCTGCTTGCCAAGGCTTGTGGCCATTTGCATTGTGACAATCTTTCCTTAATCTGGGAAAATGACAGACTTGATAAACTGTCCCAGTGACACAGTGTTCTTATTTTTAGAACATGGAGCCACAAGACTCAGCCCCTTCCCTTTCCCCTCTCCTCCCCCTCCCCCCTCCCCTCCCCTCCCTTCCCTTTCCTTCCCTTGTAACTTATATGAGATCATTTGTATAAGTTACAAGGTGAGATATTTTGCAATACTTTGAAATCTAACTCTGTCTCATAAGGATTTACTCATGCTTGCTACTTTACAATATTTCTATTTAAGAACAAAATATGCTACCGCTCAGTGTATCTCTGAGATAAGCTGAGTCCAAAAAGTTGGGTCACTTCACCCTGAGGGGAAATAGGAAACTTCACCCTCAGGGGAAAAGGGAAACGCAGCACAAGCATGAGCTTGGGTGTGAATGATCTAGAATGTGAACTTATTCCTCCTAAGAACAGGGCAGGGTGAGCAGAAGGGTGCATCTGTCACTGTTTGGACTCTGGGAAGAAAAAAGAAAAATTTCACCAGCAGAAGGCTGAGGAAACAGCAGAGGTAATATTTGATGATTAATATTATCTTCATACTAGAGGCCCGGAGCACAAATTTGTGCACTTGGGGGGGGGGGGGTCCCTCAGCCCGGCCTGTGCCCTCTTGCAGTCTGGGACCCCTCAGGGGATGACCACCTGCTGTCTTAGGCCCGCTCCCTGGGGGATTGGGCCTAAGCTGGCAGTCAGACATCCCTCTGGCAGCCCAGGAGCCCTCGGGAGATGTCTACTTGCCAGCGGGGAGCAGGCCTAAGCTGCAGTCAGACATCCTTAGCACTGCTGAGGAGGCCGGAGAGGTTCCCGCCATCACTGCTGTGCTGGCATCTGTCAGCCTGGCTTGTGGCTGAGCAGAGCTCCCCCTGTGGGAGCACACTGATCACCAGGGGGCAGCTCCTGCATTGAGCGTCTACCCCCTGGTGGTCAGTGTGTGTCATAGTGACCAGTCATTCCCAGTCATTCTGCTGTTAGGGTCAATTTGCATATTACCCTTTTATTATATGCCTGGTGCATGGGTGGGGGCTGGCTGGTTTGCCCTGAAGGGTGTTGCAGATCAGGTTGGCATCCCGCTGGGGTGCCTGGCCAGACTGGGTGAGGGGCTGAGGGCCGTTTTCAGACTGGCCACACCCCCTTCAGGGTGGGGGTCCCTGCTGGAGCTCCTGGCCAGCCTGGGTGAGGGGCTGAGGGCCGTTTTCAGGTTGGTCACACCTCCTTCAGAGAGGGGGATCCTGCTGGGGTGCCTGGCCAGCCTGGGTGAGTGGCTGAGGGCTGTTTTCAGACTGGCCACACCCCCTTCAGGGTGGGGGTCCCTGCTGGAGTGCCTGGCCAGCCTGGGTGAGGGGCTGAGGGCCGTTTTCAGGTTGGTCACACCTCCTTCAGAGAGGGGGATCCTGCTGGGGTGCCTGGCCAGCCTGGGTGAGTGGCTGATGGCTGTTTGCAGACTGGCCACAGCCCCTTCAGGGTGGGGTCCCCCCTGAGGTACCTGGCCAGTCTGGGTGAGGGGCTGATGGCTGTTTGCAGGCTGGCCAAGACCCCCAGCAGGGACCCTCACTCCATGATGGTGTGGCCAGCCTGGGTGAGGGGCTGATGGCTGGTTTGCAGGCTGGCCATGGCCCCCAGCCACCCAAGCTCCCAGTGGAGGCTAGCTGGAAGCAGGTATCTGGGATTTACTTATCTTCTATAATTGAAACTTTGTTGCCTTTAGTGGAGGCCACAGCCAGCCAGGGCAGGTGGGAAGCTTGGCTTCCTCCATCGCCGGGGCAACCAAGCCTCCTGCTTGCTCCAGCTCCATGGCTGGCGGCCGCCATCTTGGTTGGGTTAATTTGCATAGAGTCGCTCTTATTGGCTGGTGGGCGTGGCTTGGGCATAGCGAAGGTATGGTCAATTTGCATGTTTCTCTTTTATTAGATTAGATAAAGTTTTTTAAAACTTTGTTAAAAACACCTTTGACTCTTGAGAGTTCTAAACCTTTCACTCATTGCTTTGTTTAAAAAAAAGGAAAAAGGAAAAAGAAATAATAGCCAAAAAAAGAAAACAAAAACCATCTGACCAATTTAGGATCTAAAAAGAAGAGGCCTCCCCTCACATGGCCAAAAATGTTACAAAAACATAGTCTTACAATCCTTTCTTCTTCCTTTATCAATTTAGACCATGATTTCCAGTTATGGTAGAAAAGAATTTAGTTCATTTTTCAATATCCCAGTTATATGAGTTTTTGTTAAATCAGTAGTTGGTGCCTTTATTATTATTATTATTATTATTATTATTATTATTATTATTATTTAAGTATGTTTCTTGCCGAACTGTTGAGTATACGTTTCCTTTCTTAAACATTTAGTTTTTCTTGGAGTTAACAGGTCTCTTTCATTTGCTTCACTTTTTATTACCTATTGCTTATTCTTCTCAAAGACTCTAGTTTATATGTAAAATCTCTTTTCCACACAAACATTAGATATCTGCTGTTCCCAGCTCACCTCTCTTTTCTCTTTAAACCTCTCTGTTCTGGAGTCCTCCATCCTCCCCTCCCATCGGGCCCTCTGGGCCTGCTGCAGAGCTGGCAGTGTGGAACCTCTCCATTACTCCAGCAGGTTCCCATGATAATGAAAAGTTTTGGAGAATCTGCCTGTCTGAAAATACCATTATTTTACTGTCACACTTGATTTATAGTGCTGGGTACCTAGGTTAGAATGACTTTTTTTTTTTTCCTTAAGATTTTTCTAAGGCACTGTTCCCTTCTCTTCGAGCTTTAAGTGTTGCTTTTAAGAAGACCGACGCCTTTCTGATTCCTCATCTTTTGCACGTGACCTTTCGTTTCTTCTCTGTAAGCTTTAGTATCTAATCTTTACCCCTAGCATGCCTACACTTCGGGATGATGTGCCTGGCCTGGGAGACTATTTTCACTCCTTGCTCTGGGTTGTTGGCAGGCTCTTTCCATTTGGAGACATGTCCTTCAGTTCTGGGAAACTAATCCATGTTATTTGTTTGATAGTTTCCTCTTATCTATTTTCTCTCTTCTGGAACTCTTATTAATCAAATGTTGGACAAAATGAGATTGATCCTCTCATTTTCTTTTCCCCCTATTATCTAATTCTGAATGTGTTATACTTTTTTACTGAGAAACCTCTGCCCCTGACCTCCAATTCTTCCCTAGGGACATGACCTTCTCAAACAAGTTTCTGCAAATTCCTGCTTGGGAGAGGAGGGGAGGAGGAGAGATAGCTATGGGCAGTGACCCTAAGAAAAGTAAACCTCTGTCCCTACACGCCTTCCAGTGCTCAGTTCAACCAGCTTTCACTTGGATTTAAATGACTACAATCATTACTGACCTTATACTGCAATATCATGTGATATATATGCTGTTGTTTCCTTTAACTGAAGTCCTCTTCCTTCATTTATCTGCCTAACTCCTACCTGGCCTTCAGATACCACCTCTTCCAATACCCTTTCTTAACCAACTATACCCCTACTCCAATTTCTCATAATAGTCCTTCTCTTACTGATTACCTGTCCCATGCTCTGCCTATTACCCTCCCAGGAGTAATCACATAGCACTCTATTTGTTTATAAGACACACCTCCCCAAATAGTCTTTGAACTCAAAGGCAAGGATCATTGCTCATCTTTACTTTCCAGTTTACAGCACAGTATCTGGTATTGAGTAGACATTCTAAAATGCGTGTGAAATGAGAGAATAAATGGATAAATAAACATGCTATTTAGAGTTAAAAAAAGAATTATAGAGATGGGTCTTTAGAACACATTTAGTCCATCCTATTTCATCCAAAATTCCCTAAGCAAATATTTCCTAAGAGCTGTGCCAAGATATTAAAACAAAGAAATCATGATCTATGTTCAATAAAACATAAACACTTTCTAATGTAAAGAGTATTAAATAAAAACCTTACCGGCAAAGTTCCAGGCAGAGATGCATCAAAAAAAGATACTAAAGAATTTGGAGGTGCTGCAAAGTGGACTTGGGATCCAGAGAAGAGTTTCGAGTTGGAGGAAATCTGGGCATGAATTTCCAAACCCACCACGGCTGCCCATTGGTGTTCACTAAAGAGAAAGATATAATGGTTAAACAATTGTTAGATTTGTCCCCATACATAAATTTCTCTGAGCCTAAACCACAAATGTTAATTTCTTATTTGTTTTTAACTTATTAACATTTTATTTCCTTACATTTAAAAATGTGTCATCTTGTAGTAGTGATTAAATCAAAAGCAACTCATGATAAACACCTACAAGACCAGCAAAATAAAATTCATTTACAACGTGGCATTGTACAAACAGGAAGGCCACAGAGAAAGGAACAATTTGCCATCTTAATTTAGCAATGGGTATCAGGTAGTGCCTGTGTGGCTGGCTTCAGTGAAAAGCAGCCCTTTCTAAATTAATGGTCCTTTATCAATTAATCACTCAGCAAATGAAGAAAGCTGACCTGGTACACATTTTTAGAGTTAACGTCAGGATGCTACTACTAGATAAATAATGGTAAATAAATAGCTGCACATCTTATTATTAAGAAAGAGAAATTCTGTTATGTTTTCAATTCCTTTTTATAACAGTGGTTCATAAGTAAAATTATCAGTGACATGGATGTAATCAATCACTACTAAATAATACTCCTGGAAATTTTGTGCACAGGAAAACATTAAACCATCAGATTTGGCTTTTTTTGTTTTGTTTTGTTCCCAAACCACTTTCAGTTACCCAGATCTAGGTTCAAGTTCTTTTGCTTATTTGCTTATGCTTGATTGCTATAAAATCTAAGAAGCTGTTAAAAGCTATACTTTCTCTAATCTGGCCACCCCTCTGTTGGATCTTTGAAAGTCCCATATACAGGTCTCTCCAGGTTCTTATAAGTGTCCCTCTGAAACCCAATTTGCAGATAGCCTAGACACACATACTCTTTTCATATTTTGCCTGTTCCTATCCTGCTCTTTTCCCAAGCAATTTTCTATACTGTCTAGATTTTTGTTTACATGTTTTGGATTTTGTTTCAATCATTCCAACATACGAAGTTCTATATCTACAATATTGTGAGATTAATTCCTTCTTTTTACAGTTAGGAAACATCGCCTATAATTCAGAGGAATTCCTTAGAAATTCTGCATTTCCCTAAAACATTATTCAAAGTACTTTTTCAGTTTCGTTACGTGAGAGAGAGAGAAAAAAAATACTTTCCATTCACAGTGAGGTGATCCAACTTATGAAAAGCACAGAAATCAATTTTCTGGACACTTTCCCTCCAACTGAGAAGCAAAAGTAATGCCAACCTAACTATCTCATAGGGCTAACAGAGTATTAGACATGTGCCTTATATTTACTGTTTAAAAAGAAAGGGTTTTAAGACTTATGTAGTAAAGAATTAACAGCTATTCAGGGGATATCTAGCAGAATAAGCACAGCTCTCTGCACAACCATAGTGGCGATTTCTTGTACAAGCTGCATCCTCTTGTGTCTAGACATCCATGTTCCCCATGAAAGGCCTCCACAGAAGGCGGTGCTTCCCGACTAAGGCCGTTAAGCCACCACTACCCGGCGCTTCAAGGTAAAGGCTCCCTTCCCACCTTTAGGACACTGCTGGCCGTAGCAATGCTAAATGTCAGCTAAATGAGATCCCGCTTCTAGCGCCACAGACCCCGCTGCTGGGAGGACTAGTACGGTGCCTGAATCCGCTCTTCGGTCTGTGTCGCTTTCGACTTAAGAAAACACCTGCGGACTTTACACTTGCGAATTCCCCCAACACACCGTCTATCTATTTGCGGAGGCCGGTTTCTGTGCGGAGGCGGGGCTCACAGAGGACAAGTTTAGTGCTTCCCAGGCTGCAAGTTACAGCCCAACGCCCTCCCACTCAACAGAAGGTCCGAACTGACTACTGGGCTGGGTGGCCATCATCTTCCCAGTCCCGCAGTGGCACCGCACACTGGATTGGGCAGGATGGTATGAGATCGTATACCCTTTCCTCGGCTTCTGGGCCGTGACGAGGGGCTGCTGAGCCACTGAGCTCTGTCCCCTTTTCCCGCTGGACCTGGACCCAGTCGGTGCCCCTCTTCCGTGGCGAGGACCGCGGTCAATGTTGGCTAAAATCCAACGCCTTGCGGGACAGCACCAGCGCAGCACGGGCGCCGCCATTGCCCCTCCGGCGTCCGTCACTTGACGCAGTCTCCCTCTGCCGCGAGGGTCTCTGGGAAGTGTAGTTCTGAAAACGTGTAAAACTCCATAGGCTCCAAAGGGAAGACTTCTATTCCCAGCGAGCACTGCGAACCGAAGGCTCCCGGCACCCTGGCGGGGAGGGGAGGGAAAGAGCAATAGAGGAGAGCGAGTGAGGGTTTCCGGGTCAGAAGGGGTGACTCCTCCTAGCGGGAGCTGGAGTGGTTTGTGACTGGGAGCGTGTGTAAGCGTTTGAGTGAGAGCAGGCAGCGTGGAGGATCCAAAGCTGAGAAACGTGGCCGGGACTTTATACCACCGTTAACGTTTCGAACTGAAGTCAATGACCTTGACATACCTCGAAGACTTCCTGAAGCCCCAAACCCGCTCAGTGATTTTCTCTGTCTACTGTCCCACTTCACACACCAACTTGTGCATTAATGCAACAAATACTTATTTGCGAGTCTACTCAATACCAGGCACACTTCTTAGGCACAGGGGCTGCAGCAGTGAGGAAGACAGTATGCTCATGGAGCTTACATGCTTGGGAGGGAAGACATACAGAAAAGTTAACAACAATGGGCTACTTTCATGCAGGTGAAAAGTGTTAATATTTAAGCAGAGGTGCTTGGAGACAAACAGACCTAGGCTGAGCCTTCTAGTGCATTTTAACTTACAGGCATAACTCGTTTTATTGCGCTTTGCTCCACTGCACTTCACAGGTGTTGCATTTTTTTTATAAAATGGAAGTCAAGACCCTCCAAGGTTTGGAACCCAAACTCACAATATTTCTGAGGTGTGCCTATACTTGCTATATTATGGTGGTCTGGAACTAAACCTGCAATGCCTCTGGGGTATGCCTGTATTCTTCCTTATGTTCTTGGCCAGTACTCAAAACAATCTTCTTATATGAGAGGAAGCCTTGGTAGCAGATGCCATCATTCCAGACTTCCTTTATTTTTCCTGCTTGGAAACTCATACCCCTCTTTGAAACTATCATTGATTTCCTGCATTTGCACACACAGCTTAGACTAGTCATTCAGCCATTCTCTGTTATGTCTCCCTACTTTAATTCTCCACATGGTACTTATGAAGATCTGATGTTTGAGGAGAATTTGTCTTATTCAACACAGTATTACCAGATTACAAAATAGGCCCCTCACAAATATTTGTTGAATGAAGGAGGGCAGTGTGGATAATGCATTTGACAAAGGATGGCATGGAAGCCCTATTTTTAGGAGGGAGGTGATGGAATAGTGTCATGGTGGAGGCAAAGAGAAATTGGCCTGTGTGAGACAGCTTTAGAAAGTATGATTGAAGGATTTGGTGATGGGTTGGATATGATGGTGGAAGGCTAGGTGGGGGTCAGGTAACTCCTAGATTTCTGGCTTGTAAAACTGGATGAGTGATAGAGCTATTCACTGAGATAAGGGAACTAGAAGAGAAGAGGGTTTGCAGAAAAATATGAGTTTGGTTGCCTTAGAGACTTACAAGAGGAGAGGTGAAGTAGGCATTTTTGATGCTTAACTGAATGTGGAACAACGGGAAAGCCACATAGTCTGCATACTTCACTTCACACTGATAGATTTTCAGTTATTGATCAATAAGTAATCTATTAATTAGACAGCTATTACCTACAACTATTCCCATTCATATTCCAATACAGATATGATATGCAATTTAATCCATTCATGTAGCCAATTTTAGTTACTCTCCTTAAAATTGTCATTATTTACTTTTTCTATCCATTTTATTTTTTCACCCACTATCATTGATCCAAATTGCTAGACCAGAAGTATTTTCACATGGTCAAAAAAAAAAAAAATGAGAGAAATGACAGAGACTGCAAAGTAGAGGTGGAGATTTGTTCCAACGTTTATCTCTAATTATTGTCCTGTCATGTTCAGATTACTCTTTAGACCTTTTAATAATTTCTCTCCTCTGAGTTTTTATATTTCCCACCTTTACTCTAGGTTAGCTTGTTTTCTCTTTCTCATGTAGCTCCACAGGTCTTTCTTGTACAAGTTGTGTGTGTGTTCAGCCCTAATGAACGTGTGAAACCTGGGGTCAGGAGAGTTCCATCTCTGATAGGACTGCGGAGGAGAGGGAACCCTGTATCTCAGAAGTGAGCATGGGCATCCTTTAGCCAAAAGGAAAGGGAGCACCTTGCTACCTTACCACTGCTGATCAGCATGCTTAGGAGGCAATTAACTCCCTAACAAGAAGAGCTGGGGATGTTTTTGAAAAACCCTGTAAGAGATAGCAGCACACCTAATGAAAATCCTAATTTTATGGGCAAAATGCGCTATAATGGAAACATCTTATGCAGTGATAACATATCACTTCAAAGACTACCACCCCACCACTAGAGGGAGAGAAAATCCTATGCATGAAAGTGGATTTGATTCCTTTTACAAATGGAAACCTTCCCATTCATTGCATATTGCACAGCCTTTTCAAAATCCCACAAGAACTAATGGCTCTATTCTCCCCTCTAGGTTACCTGTCATTTCCAGAAATTCCCACTGGTTTCCTCGTGCTTGATCTAGTGTCTAGGAGTGCATTGTTTTCAAAGCACCCCTCCTTTCTTGCTCCTTAGCTCATCGGGTGCTGCCACTGAACCTCCTACCATGGGACCATTTCTTGCCTTCCTCCTGCATGCCAAATCAGATACGTGTCAGAACTTTTACTGACAGACAGCTTTCTACCTGAGAGAGCTATTTTGGTTCCACCGAAAAGGTAGCTGTCATCTGGAAGACACAGAGATTTTCATTTTCAAGAAACTTGAAGAGGTAGCAGGACAGGGTTTCGAGCAAAAAAACATTTTCTCAGGGCGAGGTTCTCAGCTTTTATTTTATTCATGTAATCGACATCGTACAAATAAATTTAGAACAAGTGTTTTTTTTTTTAAAGAGATGTAAACCAGAGTTGAATTTCAAGTTGTTACTTATAAAGTATACCTTAAGTAGTTAGAAAGCATATCTAAAACACTGTGCTTGGTTTTATTCTTCCGAGAGCCTTTGAACGTCAGAGTTAGAACGCATTGGCTTGCCTCTCTGTGTTTGACTTAAAATCCCCAGGTATCTATAGGAACACATTGATTTCTGAACACAAATCATTTCCCCCAAAATCTAAGCTGTGTTTGTCATCACTTCCTTTCTCATTCTTTCACTGGTTTGGGAATGGGGGTATAGTGCAAAAACATGGGATTCTAGGGCTTATAACATCTTCAGTAACCTGAGTACAATGTGAAAGAATGATATAAGTGGTTCTAAGTTTCCTTTTTTTTTAAATGAAGTAAACAATTTTAATAAAACATTAAAATTTCAAGTAAAGTTAAAAGATCATTCCCATTATTTATTTTAATAATGTATCGTGGCAGTGTGTCTAAAATCTATTTGTATACAACTTTGAATCTTAAAATTAACCTATCCTTTGATAAGCTATTTTTGTCCTGTGGCAACTAAGGCAGGGCTTTAAAGATGGTTAGCAGATTAATAAACAGAATGCCCCTTGCAGTCTAACAGAGCTGGATGTGAATGCTTATCGTAGCATTTCTTAATACACTTGTGATTTGGTCCCTCTGTGGGACTGGTAGTTTCTTTCTGTTCTATAGCTGTAGCACCCAGCCTGTTGTCTTGACATTTTATGGCATGTGGGGAGGGAGAGAGGGTAGCTTGGTCAGTATAAATTCTCTTTTAAAAAGGAGGGGGGAAATTCCCCCATTTAAGGTTATGTACATATGAGAAAAAGTGACAGCAAAAATTTTCACATAGGAAGAAGTGGTACTAGAGGAAGTCCTGTTTTTGAAAAAGTCCTATTTTCTAAAAACATAAAGTTCCTTCTTGGAAAAGCCACATTTTAAGACCAAGTTAAGTGTCATTATGGGAAGAAGAAAGACAGGGAATATGTGCATGCCGGGCAACCAAGAGAACAAGATTCATTTCCTTTTATTTAACCATTAAGTCTTGATTCTGGTAAAATACTGATGTGGAGGGAACAATTCCTTTCTCTAGAAGATTGCTTTGAGGCAAAGAAATCTATAACTTTTTCTTCCTTTCCAAGGCAAGGAATAGGATAGGCCTGTGCAATGTCTTTGTAGAGATGAAGTGCCATCTGGGGGAGATAGGCCAGGGCATTGCTGCCATTAGGTTTGCCCAGCCCATAAACTATAATCTCTCTACGTCTTGGCTTCTTCAGTCTGGTCTCAAGGAGTGGTTTGCTGTTTTCCTGGGCCTTTCCTTTTTTAGAAATCTGCATAATCCTGGAAGCAAACCAGAATTATGTGTAAGAAATAAGTTCTGCTTCTACACGTCCCTGTGACTTACTTGAAAGAAGATACTCCTCAGTCAAAAGAAGTGAGTCCCAGAACATGGTAAGCTCTGTGTCTCTGTAAGCTATGTTTAGCATGTGATCAGATCCTTGCTATGCACTAAGAAGCTCTAAAGTTTGTGTTTGGGAATTGGGGATTTGGCCTTGAAAGTTAAGGAACTTTTACAACACACACACACACACACACACACACACACACACACACACACACTTCTAAGCAGGATCTTATTTCAGAATAGTACACAAATAATGATTGAGTGCTTTTAGATGCTGTTTTTGTATGTCAGATGGTTCTGTTGGTTTTAAGTTTAAAGATTTTGAGGAGCAAAAAGTCTGACATTAAAGAACTAGGCCACCAAGAACCATGGACTTGGATGACACCTTTCCCTCCCTGACTGAACAATGAACTCCTACTTGGTAAGTGAGGGGACAATGTATCAGAATCCACCGAGTGGCTCAGAGAGAACAGAAAGGTGTATCTTACACATCTTGCCAGGTAATCCATGTCCTTACCTGTGAGTTTCTGAACTGGGATCTGCCCTTGAACTAAGAATGGATGGGCTGCACAAAGCAATAAAGGCTAAAATCTCATGGGTGGCGTAGACTTCAGGGCTCACTACCATTTAACGTATGGCTGTTGAGAGGAAATTTTTCCATGAAGAGGTGCCAGGTTAAATTAAAAATCAAGCAG